GGCTGAGCCTTTCCGTATGCTGCTGTCTACTAAGTAACATTTTGCGGTTCCTCTGGGATCAAAACATCCTGACTAAGGCCTGGTGTCCCAGGAAGGGAATTTATACTTGACATCCTATTGCCCCCCAGTTGAGTTCCTGCTTTTTCCTGAGTTTGTATTTTTCCTTCCCTGGCTTGGTGTATATATATTGAACCTGCTCAGTAAAAGTTTTGGCATTCTCTTATAACGGATGACCCGAGTCTGAGTCTTTCTTTAATCCCCCAGGTCTATGCCTGAGCTCGGTACTGCTGCTGCGGGCAGTGCTGGAGCTGTCACCCTCCCAGTCCCCCCTTCCCACAATTCTTTCCCCCTCCCTCCCCTTCTCCTCTTTGGACTTTTAAACAGTTTTAAGACTGTAGTAAACTGGAGAATTTTGAAGTTGGACTGATGTGTTTTGTATTATGATACAACTATATGGGGGTGTAGGAGTGGAATGTGTGGCTTGCATGAGGACGGCTCCCCTAGGTTAATAGTTGAATGTTTGGTCCACTGGGGAGTGAAGCTGTTTGATAAGATTAGAAGAATTGGGGTGTGGCCTTGGTTGGGGAGGTGTGTCACTGGGGTGGGTTTTGAGATTTCAGAAGTCCATGCCAGGCCCAGTGGCTCTCAGCCTGTGGATCAGGATGTAGCGCTCAGCTACTGCTCCAGAACCATGCATTCTACCATGCTCTCCACCATGATGATAATGGACTAAACCTCTAGAACTGTAAGCAAGCCCCAATTAAATGCATTCTAAGAGTTAGTTACCTTGGTTACAGGGTTTCTTCAAAGAATGAGAACAATGGCTAAGACACCCTTCCACCCTAATCAAAGTTCACCTTTCTTCTGACCTACTCCCTCAGGTCTTTGTTTTCTAGTATGTGGCAGCTAGCTCTCTCAACACCTCAGCTCACGTGAGTTCCTGGATTGTATGTTACTGGCTTATTTCAGTTAGAAATTATTTATTCTAGAGATAGTGATGTCCTCTGAGGATTGCTTAGGAAGATTTGATGGGCAATATTCTGTAGTGACACCGTATTTCTTTCTTTGCATTATTAGCAGCCCACAGATCCTGCCATGATCCTGCCCCGTACTACTCAGAATTGTCCAGGCTCAAACATGGTAACTGAAGACATCAGGGACGGTTCCTATCTACTATTTTGCTCTGGGGGGACACAACTGTATTTTCTCCGTGAGTCAGATCTTTTACTCTCCTTCTACACACTGTTCCTCACCAGGATTTCTAGTTCCCTTTACTCTCCCCTTAAATCCTTTCCCCCCATTCCATTCTGCTGTTTGTGATCTCACGTAGGTCACGTTTTGCTGGTCTGTGTTGGGGATTTCATTACAGGATTATTTTTATCCTACCCAAAGAATCTGAATCTGAAAGCTGAAATAATATGTAGTATGATGTGGGTGGTATTTCAGCTGTTTTCCCGAAGTAACTAAACCCCCTCCCCCTTTATTCCAACAAAGTATCTATTTGTCAGGAATTTCCATTTCAAAGTTATTATCCTCTGTGATGGGAGCTTGTTTTGTGAGTAGCCTGGGAAGAAAGACATATTTATACTTTAAAACTATACATCAGGGCTGGAGAGATGGCTCAGCCGTTAGGAGCACTGACTGCTCTTCCAAAGGTCCTGAGTTCAATTCCCAGCAACCACATATGGTGGCTCACATGGTGCCCTCTCCTGGTGTGTCTGAAGACAGCTACATATAAATAAAATAAATAAATCTTTTTAAAAAAAAAAACTATACATCATGTAGAACTATTTATATTTGTTTCTAGTTCCTTCGATCCAAAAAGGAAACAAAGGAACAAAACCCAACCAGCCCCCCCAACGAAAAACACCACTTAATAGTACATTCTATTACTATTTATTTTTTTTAATAAATAGTATTTTAATAGTATTTTTTAACTCCAGCCTCAGGTAAAGGGATGAGGTTTTTCAGTGTCCTTAGTGGTATCATAGATAGTGCAGACAGCTGTATGTAGAATAGTTAAAAGATTTGAGTTTGTTTTTTTTTTTAAAGTACATTTCAATAATGCCGGGTCCAACCCAGCTTTAGGAGGGTATTCTTGAGCTGGGAAGATGGCTCAAAATGTAAAAGCACTTGCTCTGCAAGTATAAGTTCAAATCCCCACTGCCCTTGTAAAAAGCTGGATATGGCTCTGTGTGTGTGTGTGTGTGTGTGTGTGTGTGTGTGTGTGTGTGTCTGTCTGTCTGTCTGTTTGTCTGTGTGTCCAGTTTTGATGGAAGGCAGACAGCTAGACCCTGGGAGGCTGGCCAGCCAGCTTAGCCAAAACAGGGGGCTATGGGTTCAATGAGAGACCCTGTCTCAAGGCGATAAGAAGGAGAGCAATAAAGAAAACCCTGAAGTCCTGCTCTGGCCTCTACATGCGTGCACACACACACTCCAACAAATAAAGACATGCTTTCTGCTCACCCGACTCTCATCTCCAAGTCAAGGTCTGAGGAGCTATAAAGTTGCATGGAGCTGAGGTTTCAGTTGGTAGATTGGTGTAGTGTAATGGGTAATAATACTACCATGAGAGTCAAGAATAATAACTACCCAAAAAAATATCTACTGTCCCAGAGGAAGGACGTCTTAGTCAGAGTTCTATGGCTATGAAGAGACACTGTGTCCATGGCAGATCTTATCAAAGAAAAGCATTTATTGGGGCTATCTTACAGTTTCATGGGTTTAATCCACTATCATCATGACAGGAAACATGATGTCATATAGGCAGACATGGTGCTAGAGAAGTACCACAATGTTTTACATCCAATCCACTGGAAGTAGGAAGAGAAAGACACTGGGCCTGGCTTGGGCTTTTACCTTCCCCCCCAACACCCCCATGACACTCTTCCTCCAACAAAGCCACAGCTAATCCCTGTCAAGTAATGCCTCTCCCTGATGACCAAGCATTCAAATATAGGAATCTACTGGGACCATTCTTATTCAAACCACCACAAGGGATACATGATATATGCTGTTAGGTGCTAGAAAATGGAACAAAAAAGTATGAAGACCAAAGAGAAGATACCCATTCAAACAAACCATCACAATTTATTAAAGAGATTCAGGAATTCAAATTACCATGCACAAGAAATCCATGAGGCCAAAATTAGAAACTGAGTACATATATGTACGTGTGGGCATATATACTCAGGATGAACCCAGCCCAGAGTTACGCATCTTTCCACCACCTCAGATGACAACACTATACTTTGTAGCAGGCAACCTAAATAGCAGCTTGTCTCTAAAGTTTATATACAAGCCTGTCTGTAGCTGTTTACTGCTGCCGAATGAGAACACATAGGATTTGCACTGCTATTGGCAGAGTTCTGCTGAAAATTTATTGAAGATGAACCTGCCCGTTGTAATGTAAATAGATGCATTTATTAATTCAGATGTCACAAGCAATCAAGTGTGGTGGTTAAACATTGTCTTCTGTGGAACGCTGTGCCCAGTACTTAGTGGGCTGTGTTATTTTGGATATTCATCTGTAAATGGAAGACAAATGGTCACAGCATTAATAACCTCGTAGGTTGGGATGAGAACTAGGTATTAACAGTTAAAACATCCAGAAGAGCACTTGGTATAGAGTAAGTGCTCTTATTATTGTAACATTATTCTGGCTTTTAGCCAATTCATTGAGCAAAATAATCTGAAGTCTCATGGATGCTGGAGGAATCCTGTAAGGTGTGTATCAAGAGTAAAGTTTATTAAGAAAAATGACGGTGGTGCTGGAGAGATAGTTCAGCCATTAAGAGCATTTGTTGTGCTTGCCAGAGGACCAGGGTTCAGTTCCCATTCACCCACATGGTGGCTCCCAATCATGTGTAATTCCAGTTTCAGGCGATCTGATGCCCTCTTCTGACCTCCTCAGGCACCAGACATGGCGGCATACTTTCAGACAAAATATTCAAACAAAATAACACAAAAAAATGTAAAAAAAAAAAAAAGTTTTAAAACAGGAACCTGAGCCCATCCATGACTTTATACCACATTTATTGTGTTTAGGGCTGAGTTTCGTTCGATTAGGGTGTTAACTAAGGATAGTTTTTTCACATTAGAGTGTGACCTGAATTCTGGCATTGTTAGGGTATAAACTAGTAAAAATTGATTACAATCTTTTTCTTCCCTCCTTCCCTCCCTCCATCAAGTTTACTCTGTGTGGCCCTGGCTGTCCTGGAACTCACTCTGTAGACCAGGCTGGCCTCGAACTCAGAGATCCACCTGCCTCTGCCTCCCAAGTGCTGGGATTAAAGGGGTGCGCTCCTTTAAAAAAATTATATATTGTATCTTGACCTAGTTGTGGCAATTTAAGAGACGGTAGAACAGAAAGAACCGGCAGAAGCTTTTAACCTCAGAACAGTAATTATTAGGTGTATCATCAATAACAATTTTTGAACTTGTATCATCACTCTGGAGGAAAATGAGAGTATGACTCCGTGAATTTCTTCATCAGGTAACTTTAGACCCGTTATGATACGAACACAAGCTGTGCAAATCATGACTTGAGCTTATCATCAATCAAAATTTTGGATGAAACTTCTCATATACAATTCCTCTTCTTAGGAGGAGTTGACGCCCCAGCTTTGGGGGCGGAGCTACAGGGCAACTCCTGGTCTTGGGGGATTTAAGTTAGAGTCAAGGTTGTGCTGTACAGTGGACGAGCGCGGAACTCTGGTCACCGAAACCGCCGAGGGCCACCGAGGACTGACAAGGACAGCCGAGCGTTGCCGACTGCCAAGGGCTGCCGAGGCGCCTAGACTTGCCGAGGGCTGCCGAGGACAGCTAAGCGTTGCCAAGGGCCGCCAAGCGCTGCCAAGGTGCGGAGCGTTGCACAGGACTGGCAAGGACTGCCGAGCGGCGCCGAGCGTTGCCGAAGACCGACAAGACAGCCGAGGGCCGCCGAGCGCCGCCGAGCCTCGCAGAGGGCAGACTAGCATAGACCGTAGCACGCCCGCGCCATGGGTCCGGTGGTGGAGCGGCCGGCCGAGCCGGGCACGAGCGGCGCGGCGGAGCTGGAGCTGCTGAAGCGGCGCGCGGCCGAGCGCATCGACGAAGCGGCCGAACGCCTGGGCGCGTTGAGCCGCGCCATCTGGAGCGCGCCCGAGCTGGCCTACGAAGAGCACGGCGCGCACGGCGAGCTCACGCGCTTCTTCGAGCGCGAGCCGCCGGCAGCCTCGTGGGCGGTGCAGCCGCACTTCGGACTCCCCACCGCTTTCCGTGCCGAGTGGGCGCCGCCGGAGGCCGCGGCCGGGCCCCGCGCGCTGCAGCTGGGCTTCCTGTGCGAGTACGACGCGCTGCCAGCCCTGGGCCACGCCTGCGGCCACAACCTCATCGCCGAGGTCGGGGCGGCTGCGGCGCTCGGCCTGCGGGCTGCGCTGGAGAGCATCGCTGCGCCGCTGCCGGTCAAGGTGAGCCACGCCGGGCCAGCGCGGGGTGTGCCGGATCCAGCTCGGAGTGCCAGACCAGTTATTTTTGGTGGTAAACAGCTGCAGTTGTGTGATCTCTAGAGGAAATAAATGTTGTAGACCTAACAGACAAACAAAAGATTTTGATTTGAGTAATTGGTATTTGTATAGTAAGTTACACTGTTTACAACTACCACCAGACTGCCAAACTTCTAAAAGAGTAGAACTAACGGAGAAGCAAACAAAACATTTACTACGTAGATGGGTTCGTATTTACATGTACATTTTTATTTCATATTAAACAGGCGACTCCGTTCTTTAAGCAGGAGAATGTCGTGCATGTCTGTCTTAGGCAGGTCTGATCTTGTGTTTACTCTTTCGGATGGTATATTTAATTCTGTGAGCCAAGAACCAACCATCTGTCACTCAGCCCGGTTCATCCTCCCCAGTGACAATAATCCTCTACAACATCTCTTGGGGCCCTTTCCCCTTTCACTACCTTCTCTTTTATGCCTCTGGGTTTTTGTTTTGTTTGAGGAGGACCCTTGGATGGACTTAGGAAAGTTCTCAGCAGTTGGCAATGAGCCCAGTAGGTTCAGGGTAAGGAGCAGCTCAGAGGCCAGGAGTGGTGGTGCATCCCAGGTGGAGCTCTGTGAGTTCGAGGTCAGCCTAGTCTATATGAGCTCCAGGAAGTCGGGATTACATAGAGACCCTGTCGTACGCCCTCCCTCAAAAAGCAACTCAATTTAAGATACCTGATAAATTTAAAAATAAATAAACCAGATTTTGAGAAGTATACCAACCTCAAATTTCAAGTGGTTGTTCTCAGCAACGTTCCTCTCTTACCAGAAAATGGGATATGAGTGGATTCCCTTTGCAAGTAAAGCCTTTATAAAAACCTCCTCTTGTTTCATTGTATTTTTATACATGACCTTAACAATACATTAACTTTATGCAGATGATGTGTCATTGCTTTTTAAAAAAAATTGCTTGAAGAAGTTAAGCTTGAATATCAAAGTAAAATGTTTATTCTGTAAAGTTCTCTTTTGTTTGATTAGGTGTTTGGTGACCATTAAATCTTCCTGGTTGAACTGGTGGAATCGAATTAGTAAGTTTGTGTAATAGTCGGCGGTTTCTAACCATGGCGCTGAGGTTGTTTAATGCTTATCAATGAAAGGTTAATGAATTAAGACTTTTAAGGTGGTTTCTCAGTGAGGAAGGAGTCAGAGTTCCAACCAGAAGGCCAGCAAAGCTATCTAAGCTCTGAAGAGTAGCTCTGTAATCCGGGAAGCCTGCAGCCTGCCTGAAGTGATTCAGACTACTTACTACCTCACAGGTTTCTTGTGAGGGTAACAGGCCACTTGCAAGGTCCTCACCAGTAAAACTTATGACTAATTATACCTGTCATCTACATACACTAATAGGCTTAGCCATGAAGAAACTTTAACAGATAAGTCCTAGCAAATGTTGAAGTACATAGAATTCTGCTTTTTTTTTTGTCTTTGTTATAACTTAGTTTAATTTAAGATGAGTATAAAATTGGGGAAATTTTCCTATAGCATTTCTAATATGCATTTATACCAGATTACTGTAACAATACAAATTACATTTTGTGATTCTGCACCATATATTTTAATTCATAGTATAAATGTCAGACTATAACTTCTCTCCGGGGTTTAAGGACTTAGGTATATATTCTGAATGCACATGCACTAAAATGTGTAATGTTTTCCTGCTAGGGATCTCTTTACTAACGTCTGCAATTTCCTTGTAGGTGATTGTCCTGGGAACCCCTGCAGAAGAAGATGGTGGTGGCAAAATTGATCTAATTGAAGCAGGTGCTTTTGAAAACCTTGATGTTGTCTTTATGGCTCATCCATCTCAAGAGAATGCCGCCTATCTACCGGATGTGGCCGAGCATGAGTAAGTAATCACATGGAAGATAATTTCTTAGTGGGCAACAGACTGAAGAACACTCGAAGCTATGGCAAAAGCACTTGTCATTGCAAGCCTAGGGACCTGAGTTCAGTCCCCAGAACCCACATCTAATCGGAGAGAACAGAGTTGTCCCTTGATCTCCACAGGTGTCCCATTGCATGCTCATGGACACCCTCCCCCACCACACACAGACATAGTTTAAAAAAGAAAAGTGAGTCAGACACTAAACCTCTACATTCATACATTTATAATGTAAAATGAACTGGGCATGGGCTACTCACCTCTAATCTCATTCCTCAGGAGGTTAAGGCAGGAGGAGCGTGAGGCTAGTGTGGCCTGCACAGAAGACCCTGGGAACTGGACAATAATGATGTGCGGTTTGCTTTACATCCTCCCTTCAGATCATAATTTGTTATTATGGTCATAATTGAACTATTATTAAAGGAGTATCAAACACTCGTGTTCTCTTTTGAACTTAGTCTGGCTCCAGGAAAACAGCTGTCCTTTGATAGAGAATTGTCTGTACCAGGGATGGTTTTGTTAAGACTTGAGAAGAAAGCACTTCTTCGTGCTGCTTTTAACTTGGTTCTATGGAACTGGGGGAGGGTTCTCTTTTGCATCTAGAGGGATGTGTCCTTGAACTGGTGGGAATTTTTAACCACAAATGATGGTGAGAGTAGAGACAGTTGTGGTATGGTTAGTGGTCCAGTTCGGAGGAGCCACTGCTGGGCTGTGTCAGCTAATTCTCTAGTAGCTGGGACTCTGGGGTGTGATAATAGAACTTTTCCTGCTGTGTAGCAGTGCTCAAGAATTTCACTTCTCTGAGCTCTGCCAGACTTTGTTTTCAGAGGGTAGTCTTTTTAATTCTTCCTTCCTTCCTTCCTTCCTTCCTTCCTTCCTTCCTTCCTTCCTTCCTTCCTTC